AGTTGAAGTCCACAAGTCTTAAAATGGCCACGGTTGGAGACCCCTGCATTAAAGGGTAATTCCATACAACACATGGAGGGACTCTGGAAGTGGAAGAGAAGATCCAGGAGTTTCCTTCTTGGGGATATACTGTCTTTATTGCACAGGGTGTTCTGACCCAAACCTTGTTTCAAGGAAACAAACCCCAAACAGAGATGAAAGCAAAACCTTTTAATGATTCTTTACGAATTCCGTTCCTTCCCTGTTAAAAGGCTGTTTCAAACTAATTGATAAGAACGAGCCTTGCCAAGGTTGTGCAAGGCTGCCAAGAACACTAGATAAAGTTGCCAAGCAATATTTGAAACCCAAAGAGTCTCCAAAGACCAACCAAGATATTCCGAACGTCCACAAGGCTTGAGTGTAAAAACTTATTTGCTTCCTGCAAAGAACTCCGGTTTCTCAGCTGGCTTTTATCTCTTAAGGGAGGGGCCATTACCTTGCAGCCTTACTCCCGAGTCACCTGTGCTGCTGCAGCGGCTCTTTCCTTCGAGCAACCCTGCGCGTGCACCCACTGGGCACAGGCTCCTTGGGGGCCTCTTCCTCACTGCTGCCAGCCTCCACCATCTCCAAAGGCAGCCCTCCACTCCCTGGCGATCCTGGCCCCACCCCTGCATCCCATGCAGGCCCCTCCTCCGAGTCCTTGCTCTCCGAGACTTCAGCCGTCCACACCTACTGCCGGCGAACCACAACACAGGGGTCCTTCACTTAGCAACCCTTCAGTTATTAAAGGTGTTGAAAAATTGTTGGGTTGTTCAGAAGTTGTGGGTGTTCCATCACTGGAGGCTTTGAAGAAGAGACTTTACAGCCAATTGCGTGGGATGATATAGGGCCTCCTGCTTGAGCAGGGGGCTGGACTAGAAGACCTCCAAGGTCCCAATTCTCTTATTCTTATCCACATCCATTCGTCGGTGGAATGGCTTCTCTCCAAGAAGTTGTGTGTGTTCCATCAATGGAGGTTTTGAAGGAGAGATTAGACAGCCATTTGTCTGGAATGGCATACGGTCTCCTGCTTGAGCCAAGGGGGGGGTTAGACTAGAAGACCTCCGAGGTCCCTTCCAACCCTGTTGTTTGATTCTAACTCTCCTGTGGGGGAACTAGGCCATCATCTGAAACCATAGGGCAGCTGATTTGGGGCGGCTCTGTGGTCCTCTGAGTGCCAGAACTGAGCACGGTTAATCTGGACTGAGGGTCTCGCTCATTTCACGGACTCCTCGGTGTGTCCAGGGGGATCAGGTTGGGCTCAGGGGTGAATGAGGGATTCAAATGAGCTTGCCATAGCCACGTTCTGTTCTGTTCTGTTCTGCTGGGGCTTCCAACAGACAAAATCAGTGAGGGAAGCAGAGTTCACGTAATTCACCGCAAGATCCCCTTAAAACCAGGCGCAACTCCCTGAATGACTGCATCACTTAGTGACAGGGGTTCCAGTCTCCGTTGCGGTTGTACGCCAAGCGCTCCCTGCATCCTGTTGGCCATGATTTCTGGCTCTCGGGAACAAGGTCGAGCTGGCTGTTTCCAGCATTTCCGGATGGCTTTTCCTGCCTGTGGCATGCTGGGCAGTTGGCCAAAGTGGAGCCCCACAGGTCCCCCATGGCTGGTGCTGGGTGGGGCAGGAGTGGGTGGGAGGGTGGCCCTTCCCAAGGTCATGAAATGGGCAGCAGTGTCGTGGCCACTGCCTTCTGTGGAGGACATATGTCTACTGCACGAGTCAAAAAAGAGGGCTGTGAAAATATCTACAGACCCCTCACATCCTGGACGTCAACCGTTTAGACTTCTCCCCTCAAAACAATGCCATAGAGCAGGGGTCTGCAACCTTGGGAACTTTAAGCCTGGCGGACTTCAGCTCCCAGAATTCCCCAGCCAGTGTTGTGGTTCACCAGCAACCTGTGCAGATGGCAGCAGAATCGGACAGTGGGGAAGAACAGGGACCAGTCCGGGAGTCTGGAGAGGACTCGGACGAGGGTCCTGCGTCTGATGCAGAACTGAGGCCAGGACCGTCTGGGAGTGGGGTGCTGCCTCCGGAGCCTCCGGAGTCTGACAGCAACAAAGCAGAGGAACAAGGGGAGCCTGTTCCCAGTGTGCGTCTACGCAGAGCTGCCAGAAGGCGAGAGCAGCTGAAACAGAAGGGGCGACTCAGGAGTAAGGCTGGGAGGTGATGGCCCCTCCCCTAAGGTCTCAAGAAGAGGCAAAGGTGAAGAAACCTTTGCAGGAAGCAAAGTCGTTTGCTCTATTCGGATTAATCCTTGAAGCTCTGTGGACTTCGTACTCTGGGCTTTTTCCCCCAGTTCATTTGGCACTTTAGTTGTTGGCAGCCATTCAAAGGAGAGAAAGGTGGGTGCTTATCTCGAGGGACTGTTTGGGACTCATTATAGGTTGGGGTTGAACTTAATTCCCAGCGTTGGAATAAAACAAGAATTGTTTGGACTAAGCATGTGCTTAATTACGGTCTCAGGAAGCCTTGGTCTTCGGAAATCTGGGAGTTGAAGTCTGCCAGGCTGAAAGTTGCCAAGGTTGGAGACCCCTGTTATAGAGCATTGCACACCAGAACAATTAGACACAATGGAAGTTTCCCCCCGCATGCCATTGCTCTGCTAAACAACTCATTCCCACAACACTGTCAACTTATTTACTAAGACTGTATTATTATTATTATTATTATTATTATTATTATTATTATTATCCTCCTTATTACCTATCTCCTCCCACTTATGACTATAACCTTGTTGCTTGTGTCTCTACGATTTATGTTGTTTTATTTAGTTTCTTAGAATCATTTTGATTGCTTATTTAGTATCTTTTGACTATCACTAAGTGCTGTAACTTATGATTCTTGATGAATGGTTTTTTTTGTGTGTGTGTACACTGAGAGCTTCCGCACCGAAGACAAATTCCTTGTGTGTCCAATCAACTTGACCAAGAAAGAATTCTATTCTATTCTATTCTATTCAGAGGTGGTCTGTGATCCTCTCGCCGATTACAACGTCTGGAACACGGTGCGGCAGGTGAACGATTCGGAGAAGCTGGATCCTAAAAGTGTCATCATCGCTTCCGCTCGAGTAGGTGTTGCTGGGCTGGGCTGGGAGAATTCAGCTTAATTTTCTTCCTTTGTTTACTTATTATTTATGTCCCACCTTCATTTATTTTTTTTGTGAACAATTCGAGGCAGCGAACACATCTAATACTCCTTCTGCTTCCTATTTTCCCTGCAACAACAACCCTGTGAGTTGGGCTGGGCCGAGAGAAAGCAGGAAGCTCCCTCTTTTCTGCCTTGGGGAGCAAAGACAGCCTGTGTGATGACCCAAAGGGGCGTGGCACAAAGGCAATACCGTCAAATAAGCAAGAAGAGTCCCTTTGTTATCTCCAACTTTGCCCCCAATGTCCAGGTTACCTTCGGCTGGAGAAAAACTCTCCCAGGAACAGCCTTTAACTGTAGAAAATTCAGTCCAAAATATGGTTAACACAAAGTGTAACTTAAAGTCCAATCAAGCAAAACTGAAGTAATTAGCTTGACAGAGCAGGAATTTCAGACATGAAAGCACGGCAAAACTCAAACAATTGGGAAGACACCAGGAACCCAGATAAGCCACGACGATACTAGATAAATTCACAATTTGCACACACCACCTTGCTGTGGGCAGGTTCCCTTTTTAAACACTGTGTTCCCAGCTGCGGCTAATGAAGGGAATCAGGGCCCTTTCCTCCCTCGTAAGCCACAGAATCCCTGTTGCTCCCTTCTCCATTCCTCCCTGCATGCCCTAGGATGAAGAGAAGGGTGGGCCTGGGTCTTTCTCTGAACTCCCTCTCCCTTGTTCTATCTCTCCCCTGCTCTGCCCAGCCGGACTTTGCCCTTCTCTGGTTTCTTCCACAGCCAATGGAGCCACACTCCCACTCCCCGTCAGCTGCTCGCCCCTCCCCCCCTCCAAATCAGACAGGGACATGACACTGGGAGTTGAAATCCACTCACTTTCAAATAGCTCAGGTTGAGAAAACTGTTAGACATGCCCAATTGTACAACCATAGTTCATAAGTGTTAACCTCCAGTCCCCGTCTATACAAAAAGGAGGCGCTCCGAAAGGCACAGCTGGGGGGGGGGGAATTTTCCCCCCCCCCCCCCCCCCAGGTCTTACTTGATGAGGTGACCCGAAGGAGGAGCAGCTCCCTCCGGTTGTCGCCCTCTGAGGACTCCATTGAAGCCTCAGCGCAGAGGTCACCCTCTTCAAACACCAGCTGCCGTTTCTATTAAAAAATAAAAAAGAAGGAACTACACGAGAGCTCGTTTTGACATGTCGGATAAATTTTTATAATTTTTATTTGATTCAGGAAATTAAAATACAAAAACCCAAAGTGGGGGAAACAATTGCAAAGATGAAACAAACTAGATGAACGTGTTAAAAAAAATGTTGAGTTTAAAGGGCGAAAAGCAAAGACACATGTTATCTCCCCCCACCTTAACTGAATGCCGACATGTCTATTGCAACCGTAAGAGAATAGAATAGAAAATAGAATAAATAGAATAGAAAATAGAATAGAGAATAGAGTAGAGTAGAAGAGAAGAGAATAGAATAGGGAATAGAATAGAATAGCATAGAATAGAACATAGAATAGAGTAGAATAGAATATAGAGAATAGAATAGAATAGAATAGAATAGAATATATAAAATAGAATGGAATGGAATAGAATATAGAGAATAGAATAGAAGTAGATATTGGAATGAAGGAATAGGATAGAATAGAAAATAGAATAAATAGAATAGAATAGAGAATAGAGTAGAATAGAATATAGAGAATAAGATAGGATAGGATAGAATAGAATAGAAAATAGAATAGAATAGAATTAGATATTGGAATGAAGGAATAGGGTAGAATAGAATAGAATAGAATAGAATAGAATAGAATAGAATAAATGTTGGAAGGAATAGAATAGAATAAAATAGAATAGAATAGAAAATAGAATAAATAGAATAGAATAGAATTAGATATTGGAATGAAGGAATAGGATAGAATAGAATAGAATAGAATAGAATAGATATTGGAAGGAATAGAATAGAATAGAATAGAAAATAGAATAGAGTAGAATATACAGAATAGAATGGAATGGAATATAGAAAATAGAATAGAATAGAATAGAATAGAATAGATATTGGAAGGAATAGAATAGAATAGAAAATAGAATAGAGTAGAATATACAGAATAGAATGGAATGGAATATAGAGAATAGGATAGAATAGAATAGAATAGAATAGAATAGAATAGAAAATAGAATAGAATAGAATAGAATAGATATTGGAAGGAATAGAATAGAATAAAATAGAATAGAATAGAATAGAATAGAATAGAAAATAGAATAGAGTAGAATATACAGAATAGAATGGAATGGAATATAGAGGATAGGATAGGATAGGATAGAATAGAATAGAATAGAATAGAATAGAATAGAATAGAATTCCTTATCGGCCAAGTGTGATTGGACACGCAAGGAATCTGTCTTGGTGCAAATGCTCTCAGTGCACATAAAAGAAAAGAGACATCCGTCAAAAGTCAAGAATCATCAGGTACAACACTTAATAATGGTCACAGGGTACAATAAGCAATCAAATCCTACTAGGAAGGAGCTTTCCCCCTTCGCAAAACGGGACCACAATTCATAATGTGCTGGGTGGATTTCGACCCTATACTTTTAGCGAACGGATGAAAAATAGATTTGGGGCTGAATGGCAGCCATCTGGGCACGAAGCCGGCGCTTTGAACCAGGCCCAGAAACCGTCTGGCTGACTTCGGGGAGAGCAACGCTGGCAGAGTCTCTGAACTGGCCAGAACGTCATTCTTTGCTCTTCTTTCTGGCAGATTGACAGCCACTCTTTTTTCTGGAACGTGGCCCCCGGGGCAGAGAGCGCGGTGGCTTCCTTTGTCACCCTCCTCGCTGCAGCTGAAGCCATCCATAAAATCCCCGATGTTCAGTCGCTGCCCAAAAACATCATGTTCGCCTTCTTCCAGGGGGTAAGTTCTCATTTGGTTTTCCTGATCTCTGCCGCTTTTGAAACGGATCTCTTGATTGATGGGTTTGTTCGTTCGTTTATGACATTTGTTTGCTGCCTACCTCGTATCTGACAACTCCGGGCAGCTTACAAAATAAAACAAGAGGAACAGAGTTGGAAGGGACCTCAGAGGTCTTCTAGTCCAGCCCTCTGACCAAGGCTGGGCACCTTATTCTGTCCTGGACAAGTGGCTCTCCTGTCTCTTCTTAAAAGTCTCCGGTGATGGAGCACTCACAACTTCTGGATGGAAGAGAAGAGAAGAGAAAATAAGAATGGAATGGAATGGGAATAGAATAGAATAGAATAAGAATAGAATAAGAATAAGAATAAGAATAAGAATAAGAATAAGAATAGAATAGAATAGCGAATAGAAATAGAATTAGAATAGACTAGAATAGAGAATAGAAATAGAATAGAATAGGGAATAGAGAATAGAATAGAATAGAATAGAATAGAATAGAATAGGGAATAGAATAGAAGAGAAGAGAAAGAGAAAGAGAAATAGAATAGGGAATAGAAATTGAATAGGGAATAGAAATTGAATAGAATAGAATAGAAAGAGAGAAAGAGAATAGAAGAGAAAGAGAAGAGAAATAGAATAGAGAAGAGAAATAGAATTAGAATAGAATAGAAATAGAATAGAATAGAGAATAGAATAAGAATAGAATAGAGAATAGAAATGAAATAGAATAGATTGGAATAGAATAGAGAATAGAAATAGAATAGAATAGAATAGAATAGAATAGAATAGAATAGAATAGAATAGTTGGAAGGGACCTTGGAGGTCTTCTAGTCCAGCCCCCTGCTCAAGCAAGAAACTCTATACCATCCCAGACAAATCTCTATACCATCCAGTCTCTTCTTAAAAGCCTCCAGTGATGGAGCACCCACAACTTCTAGTGGGAAGCAGTTCCACTGATTAATTGTTCTAACTGTCAGGAAATTCCTCCTTAGTTCCAGGTTGCTTCTCTCCTTGATTAGTTTCCCCCCGTTGCTTCTTGTCGTGCGCTCAGGTGCTTTGGAGACCAGGTTGTCCCCCCTCCTCTCTGTGGCAGCCCCTCAGATATTGGAAGCGTGCTCCCACGTCACCCCTAGTCCTTCTTTTCTTCAGACCAGGCATATCCAATTCCAGCAGCCACTCTTCATACGTTCCAGCCTCCAGCCCCCCTCATCATTTTTGTGGCTCTTCTCATTAAAACATGAAAAGTCATGGATCGTAAAAACAAAACAAAACCCCACAGCAGATAAAAATGATTCAGTCCCTGGAACCTGTTGGCTGGGCCTGGAAAGATCTGGCTTTTCTGAAACCTCGCGGAGAGGCCATCCCACCCCGTCCATGGGTACAACGTCTCGTCGGGAAGCCATTTCCGCGGTGCTTGCGAGCGGAGAAAGCTGCCTTGGGAAATAAAGAGTTGCATCGGAGGGCTTTGTCGTTCTCGGCTAGGAAATATCACGCTTTGCAAGGGTGGAATTTCCCCTGGGAAATGAACAAAACAGCTCGAGAGAGAGAGAGAGACAGATGCTGCTAATCCCAGCTCCACCAGAGAATTAGCCAGGGATGGGTGAGGAGGTCTGGGAGCACTTAAATAGGAAAAGCTCACAGGGTTATTGGGGGGAGATGGTTTAAAAAAACCAGCGTTTCTCATCCTGGCCGGTTTAAAAAGGGATGGACTGCCAAATCCCAGAATTCCCCAGGCAGCATGGGGATTTTGTTAATTTGTGCCAGAGGCATCACAAAAATAAGGCCTATCATAGGACATAAAAATTTTTAAAATATAAAACACGAAGATTAAAGACGTGCAGATTAAACAGATCTTGCCCAAAACTAGCAATATTAGCCTGAGAGTTGAACTCCACTCACTGTGATGACCCAAAGGGGCGTGGCACAAAGGTAACACAGTCAAATAAGCAATAGGAGTCGCTTTGTTATCTCCAACTTTGCCCCCGACGTCCAGGTTACCTTCAGCTGGAGAAAAACTCTCCCAGGAACAGCCTTTAACTGGAGAAAATTCAGTCCAAAGCAAGGTACACACAAACTGTAACTTAAAGTCCAATCAAGCAAAACTGAGGTAATTAGTTTGGCAGGGCAGAGACTTGAAAACATGGCAACACTCACACAATTGGGAAGACGCCAGGAACACAGATAAGCCACAACAATACAAGCTGAAGTAATTAGTTTGACAGGGCAGGAGAAGGATTTTCAGACTTGAAAGCATGGTACAACACACACAATTGAGAAGATAGCAGGAACACAGATAAGCCTCGATGATACCAGATAATTCACGATTTGCTCCCAACAACTTGCTGTGGGCAGCTTCCTCTTTTATACACTGTGTTCCCAGCTGCAGTTAATGAAGGTAATCAGGGCCCTTTCCTCCCCCATAAGCCATGCAACTCACGTTGCTCCCTTCTTCGTTCCTCCCTGCATGACCTAGGTGGGCCTGGGTCTTCCTCTGAACTCCCTCTGCCTTGCTCTACTTCTCCCCTGCTCTGCCCAGCCGGACTTTGCTCTTCCTCAGTTTCCTCCATAGCCAATGGAGCCGCACTCCCACTCCCTGTCAGCTGCTTCCTGAGAGCAGCAGGCAGATGGCCCCAAACCTCCTATAAGGCCTAGACCAATGGTGGTTAACCTTTTGGGGCTCCTGTGCCAAAAATTGCACATGCACCAGTGCAGACTCACATGCCAGCACCCACAATGCAATGCACCCCCCTCCCCACACCCCCTGCGCATGTGCGTGCAATCCCCCCCGCCACTCCCTTACCTATACTGTGCCTCATAGCTGATTTTTTCGGCTGGTTTGAGGCCTTTTTCGGCCTCCTAGAGGCTTGGAAATAGCCTCTGCAAGGCTTTTCAGGCTGAATAATATGCTTCTGGTATTACAGGAAGTGACAAAATGCGCCTATTATTCACCCTGAAAAGCCTGCAGAGGCTATTTCCAAGCCTCTGGGAGGCTGAAAAAGGCCTCAAACCAGCCAAAAAAAAAAAAAAATCAGCTGTGAGGCACACACATGTGTTGTGAAGTAAGTTTGCCTGCAGCTCACGTGCCAGCACAAATGGCTTTGCGT